GAACATGCCTTGAACACATCTGTTAGAGCTCAGTGACGCATGCACGACTGAATGTAAAAGCTGGTGGTTATGAATCTCTGCTTATAAACTAACATCAAACGATACAAAACAATTTGTACGATTTATTTTAATTTAAATGCTCCCTCTACCACTCGATCTACAGCACCAACAGACACAGCTAAAGAAAAAGACCAGAGCAACAATGCTTTAACACAAAGTGAAGCGTTTCATTCTGGGCTTACCAACTCACAGAAGTCTACTCTGACATGTGCACACACGACTCTCCCGTTATCCACCAGTTCCGTTTCTCTACGCTAAGAGGAAGCTGCCGTGTGTGGCTGCGTGTTTTCCACCGACATATACACACACACACACTGCTGCATAATCTGAGGTTATCTGAGGTGATTCACTACAGCGGTGTGTACGTGGACTCTGCCCTCACACTGACCCAGCGCTTTGAGAACACTGTTTTGCATGGCTGATTGCTGTGGCAGGAAAACAGACGAGGACGGAGGGGAGACGGCACCCACGGAGCAGCCAGGCAAATTCTTTTTTTCCTACGCAGACCGTACGTTGCCGAAGACACGCCACGGGCTAGAAAAACATCTCAATGGCAGATCTGTGCCGCTGCTATTAAGGTCGGAAATTACAGCATCGTGCCAGGCAGCGGTGTATTTAGTGCATACATGGAGAACACAACCTCTGTCAAGAGTAATTTTCATTCACGGGAGTTTGAATGCAGCACATAATGCAGAGCTCCAGTGTACCGTTATAGAAACACGTGGGTGGAAGCTTCTTCCAGGAGGAGCGCTTCACACCACATCCTTCTCAGATGTGAAAGATAAACAGCCCCAGTAACTCGTCTCTCTGTACCGCTGGGAGGAACATCCGTCATCTGCCTGAAGAGCAGGGTGAGAATCCAGCGACGGGCAGCGCCGGCTGACAAGGGCAGCAACCTACTCTGTTCTAATCAAGCACACAGCGCCTGAAGGAGGGAAACCGTGAGCGAGACTGGCTTCAAACGGGTGAGCGTATTGGAGGAACCTTTCTGCTGGAAACAGGGTCTCATGTCCTGTCTAATAAACACTGACAGTCTGGAGCCAGTGGCACTGTGTTACCATCAGTGACTTGCCAATGACGGGGTGGGAAGTCAGAGCTTAGCCTTTCCCATGATCCCTTCCAGCGGACAAAGCCCACAAAATGACCCGTCTGCGGGCCACTGGCACTCAGGTCTGGACCTGGTGGGAAACGCTCATGCATTGCAGTCGGTCTCTGCTGTTCAATCAGCCCTATCCGGACGGGGCAGTGGAAACCACTGGTGGACGTTCTAAAACCTCTGGGCAACACTGTGCCGCCTTTACCCCCGCACCTCCTGAAACAATCATTCTCCATCATTAACACTCGCACAAAAATCATTTAAACTGCCGTTAAGAGCAGCTAAACATGAGTGGCAGCAATTTAAGAGAGCAGCTCAATCGAGTGCGAGCCACTCAAGTGATTAGACTCCATTACACAGTGCAAACACGAGGGCGCTGCTGGCCTTTTAAAATGACCCGCTGTCCCGTAAAGCCCGGGCCCGGCCCCGCTCGGCACCGGATTGCTCTTAATGGGATTTCACAACATTAACATTCTGCTGAGTCAGCATCAGACACGCCGGCTACAGTCCCCTTCTGCTGAAACAGCCTCTACTACTGCTGCTGTGTGTGTGTGTGTGTGTGTGTGTGTGTGTGTGTGTGTGTGTGTTAGTGTACGTTAGAGTGAGTGTGGGATGAAGGGGATTGAGTGGACACAGAGTGTGGACGGGTGGGTTTTTAATCAGCCATGATCTGATTACAGTACAGCAGAAAACTACAATAATATGCAGATTTTCTAACAAACGACATAAAATAAGAACAAGTTTATGAGCGCGGTGGCACCATTTTGTTGTACTTGTGTCTCTGTGCATGTCTGAATTACACAGTTAACTTCTGGACATGTTTATGGGCCAAATTATACTGTAGCTGCTTAAATAAAGCAACGGCAGGAGCCATGTTTAATAAATTAGGACAAATAAATCCCCAATTTAAATAATTTACTTCACCTGTAGACCAGTGGTTCTCACACTTTATGAGCCACGACCCCCAAGACGACATAAGTTTGTGTTCGTGATCCCCCAGTTTGAATTTTTAATATATCACGAGTAATAACTGTTGTTCATGGGTTAAAAATTAATGTGTTAATTCCACAGATTCATCTCTTTACATTAATTTTCTTTTGAATAAATGAATGAATGTAATTTATTTCAAACAAATGAAAGGGAAAAAATATATAAAAACAAATAAAAATAATTTTAAAAAGAGCAAAAAAGAATAATAACATCATATAATCATATCATAATATTAACAAGTCAGAAAAAGGAGCAGGGGAACAAGTCTACACTTTTAATTTTGACAGCCCAAATACAAATGTATTTGATAGGCTTGTTTTTTCTTGTTGTTGTGGGTTTTTTTTACAATGATCTGGTGACCCCCTGAAATCATCTTGGGACCCTCACGGGGCTCCCGACCCCCAGTTTGAGAACCACTGCTATAATTTTAATCGATGAAAAACAGTGGATGTTTCTTTATATGCTGATAAAACCGCTCAACTCCTGACAGTTTGCAGAAAAAAACTCCTTCGCATACATCAGACTGATTAACACCAGGTTACTTAAATCACACATTAAACAGCAAAAACAGCGACTTCATTCAAAATTCACTTTCCACGATTGGCCCGTCGAAATCCAAAGTATTAAACGCAGCAAACGAGCTGCAGTCTTCCACCGTAAACAGCATTTAGCTGCTGATCTCTTCACGGCGGTTTGATATCAGGACAGTCCTTACGGCTCATTTGCATGATGGAGCGGCTCGTTCGCTGGAGGTAACTTCAGGTCAGAGCTCAGCTGGGACACTTCCTGGTCAGATGGTTTCCACAAAGACCGTCCCAGCAACGTTTTAAGTCTGTCCGTATTTACTGTCACCTCTGAAATGTATTTATACCCAGAGCAGAGCTTCGCCAATGCATATGATCACTTTAACGTTAGCGGCGTATGTGCTAAAACAACCAAAGTCCTAACTTAGCATGAGCATCTAACACAGGGGTCTCCAATCCTGGTCCTCGAGAGGACGCGGGTCCGGCCTGGGTCCACTATATCATTTCTGCAAACGACTCCTCTCAGCAGGGGTCGCACCCGATGCCAATAAGTGACTGATGGCTGTGCTCTCACAGAACATGGAGGCGACAGTTACAGCTACTAGTTATCAGGATTTATGTTTTCTGAGCGCCCACGTTTTTAAACTTTTACTCAAACAAGTGAAATCTGGAGGTCTGAAGATGTTTGTGGTGGGTCTTTACATCATGGTCCTGTAGCTTCCTAAATGGCAATCTGCATCCATTCATCTGCAAATTGATCCGCTTCAGAGCCACTCGTCATTAAGGAGGATCGACTGGTTTGATTCACATCACAGCGCCGTCTGAATAATGGGGTGTCCATGTGCTACCACACACACGCACAGAAAACATCAGTCACGCGTGTAAATTGTGCAAGCCCAGCAGAATTCAGCCATCAGGACTGAACTGTATCTGCTTCGTGACTTAAGCATGATATAGGACTGCTCTGAATGCCACGGGCCTCGTCACATTCAGGCCACCCACCCACTCACGCGGCAACGGGGAGGTCAACCGATGTCGCCATGGCCACAGGGTCAAACCCCAGATGGTTGGAAGTGGAGTGCAAAGGGTCAGAGATATGAGCCAACTTCTGGGAGGCTCGTTAACATTCAAACCACTCGATGGAGTCGTCATCGAGAAACCGCTCGCGTGTTGAGAGATTGGGGTTTTTGTTTACTGCGCGAACCACAACTGAAATCGAGACCAACCAACCACAACAGTTAGCCGAGCTACCACATCAACCGGCTATGTTCTCTCCATCTCACCATCTGCTGTGGTCCACCCACACACATCTCTCATAGCACTTGATCTGGACAGTAGCCTGCAAACTGCCCAGGAGGGCAAAGCAGATGGTGTGGTTACAGGCAAAGCGTTTAGCCTCGAATAGCAGGAAGACTTCACATCTAATGGGCACGGAATGGAGTCAAACTGCCCCCGTTCCTAATGCATCTGGGGTATTAGAGCTGCCTTGTTTGCTCACCTGGAATCATGTCAGCCTTGATTCAACCAAATCAATAAAAAAGGAAAAGGCTCCTGATTAGTTTAAAACTCTGCAGAACACAAGCAAGAGAGCCAAGCACTTTCCCAGGACAGATTACCAGAGATGAATTCCAAGGAAAACCATCGCTTGATTTATGGATGAATAGATAAAGGAAGCATTGAAGGAAGCAAACTGCTTTGCAACAGCAGACGTTGCCTAATGTGAAGCGTTCAATGGAGGAAAAGCAGCGAAGCCAAAAAAAAAAAAAAAAAGAAATCTCTGCAGCTCAGTGTTGACAAGATCTGCACAATTAAAGCACAGCGTGATTCACTTCATTTGAGCTCTAATGTCTTTGTAATGCTGTGTTGATGTGTTCCTGGCAGGTCAGTAAACAAAGCTTTTAATTGACTCACACCTACTGCTGCAGCACCAGTCCCGGCTGTTCAACAAGTTAGACCGTTTTAAAGAAATACAACAACCGACTCGGTGCAATAACGCCGAGCCGAAGTTCTGAGTGGGAGACGAACACTCGAGAAACGCCTTCGGTTCGGTCACTTTTCCTGCGTGTGCTGGTCACGGAGCAGAGAGGCGCTAAAACGGCGCATTTCTGGGTAGAGTTCGGGAAAGACGCTCCTCGTCCGCTGGCGCGAGCTGGAAGGAATGTTTTTGTTGCTTCAGAAAACACACGAAGAAAGTTCGCCGAGTTTCTTTTTTTTTTCTTTTTCTTTTTCTGTTGAACACAGTTTAAGGCGACAAGTGGAGCCCGGTTCGGCTGCTTCTGCGGTTTGTTTTGGACTCTGTAAGTCCGCCAGAGGAGGAAAAACAAACTTACCTCCGCGCATCCAAGCCAGGAAGGTACCGAGAAAGGCGACCCGACGAAAACCTCTCACGACGCCAAGTTTCCTCTTTCCTCAGCGAACGCAGCCATCGGAGCCGAACCCGGGGACTGACATCCAGCAGTCACGGAGGAGTCGGTGCGCCAGCGGGGGGAGGACGCCCGGACCGAGCGGCTGTTTGTCCGGTGGCCACGGAGCGAAAGGAGGCAGCGGGCGGCTTTCTTTGTTCCTCCGGGCTGCAGGCTGCTCCGTGGATGTTATCACCGTTCATGTGTCCCCGACAGCCGCTGATTGGCTGCACGGCCGGGATCAAGAAAAGGTGACTTCCGTCAAGTTACACGCAATAAGAGCGCGTCTTCCGCCCAGGACGTCCACAGAGAAACACGCTCCTAAACACGCTATTCCGCATCAGGGGGGTTTGTATGCAATCTGTAGCTACGTGATTATATTACAACTTAACAAACGTTGTTATAGAGTGTTTTTGTGCTGTTTATGACGCCGAAATATGTTCTTTCCTTCACCGTGGCTTTATCTCATGCTTTTATTTTGTAGGTATCATCGCTACTGTTTCCGGTAAATTGTGTCTCTTTACAGCGAGGCAGGGTGGAGGCCACTTCATGCCTTACATAGTTTTATACTGAACATAATCACGATCTGTCTGCTGCTTCTGCACTTTATTGGCGTGCACCGACACAGTGACTCCATTCTATATTAAAGTATGCAGGAAAATATAAATAGACAACTTGAAGGCATAAGTAATAAAACCATCACACAGAGCCAGTGTTTGTCTTTAGACTAACCTCTGAAGACCCCAGCTCTGGTTTGATATGCATGTTTAAAATTTCTCTTTGCTATTTAAATAAAAAAATATAAAGAAAATAAAAATATAACTAAATATATCAAAAAAAATCTAAAAATTAAGAAAAATACCAAATAGCACTGGAATAATAATAAAATATATATTCAGAAAAATAACTACTGTGGTAAAATAACCCAAAATGTGAGTCTTAAGAGGTTCATAGAATCGATCCCATTGATTGTATTATACAGGTTATATAAAAGCATGTTTGAAAAAATCTACAGAACATCATTTACACGTCAAGCTGCATCACTTCTTTAAAAAAAAAAAAAAAAGTTTGAGTTGACACGTAGACTTTTTCTTCTCATGAACAAATCAAAGCAACAGAAGTGGATAAACCTGTAATCACATGACTCATAAAATCTGTAATTAATGAAATAAACTGACTTTATCTGTGATTTCTAATAATTAGCCGTGGTTACAAAATGACCCGTGAACACCAGAACCTTCTCAGCTTCGGACTTGTTTGGCTGCGTCTGTCACCAAAGGAATTTAAGAATCCGACTGTGAGACTGAACAAAGGTGGAAACGGACACTGAAAGTGGCAGCAAAATAAAAATCACAGTTTAACCAGGAGGTATAGAACAAGTTAAGAAACCAATTATCAGCCCTGACGGCCGTCCTCCTGCAGTGACATCGAGGCAGAGCAACACAACCCCTCCGGCAACAGATGAAGAATGAAGAATGAAGAATGGCAGAACGTTGGTCCTAAAACGTGTTATTCTCCACGCCGAGGACCGAGTCTGTCATCAGAAAAAAAGTTGGACTTGTGAAGAAAAAAAGCATTGAGTTGGTTCTGTGGGTTCTGTATTTGTGATCCAGTCAATCTAAAGTACCAGCTTTCAATTCTACACAAGATATATATTTATTTTTTTAATTTTTGATTAATAATATCCTGGAGACGATATAATTCTGAGCCTACTTTTGTCTTTTACCTGTGATTAATATGCGCGCTGTATTCTGAGCTTCCCTCATAAATTTAACTCATGTTCGATGCAGATGTAGCTTAAAGCAGGTGTTTAGTAGGAACAGCTGGAGTTAAACCCAAACTAAAGCTTCTTTAAATATACTGGACGCTGTTTTTGCACAAACCTTCATACAACCTGCACCTTAACTGTATATAAGTGTAAATACATTTTCTTTTAGAGGCTGATATTTCATTTTATTTTATTGTACTTTGATATTTATTTATCTGCTACCTATTGTGTATCTTTATATTCTTTATATTTATTTTAATCTTTTTTATATTTCTATCTTTATTCTTAGGTGTGAAACGTGCATGTAAGGAAAAAGTATTTCCCCTCGGGGATAAATAAAGTATTTCTGATTCTGATTCCATCCAGTTCCACCAAAACCGGATCCCAGCGATGACATGAGCGCCCGCCTACAGCACAATGTAAACCGCTGAATCTTATTTAAGGGCAACAAGCAGAATGGCACCCTAACGGACCGCATGCATCAATATTAAATCCCCCTTCAGCGTCCCAGTCCAATTACCTGAATCCCACCTATACCAGTAGCAACAGCAGCTTTAAACAAGAGTGAGCGGGCTCAGTCGCTAATAAAGGCCTGGATGAAATTAGGCTCATTGTGAAAAGTAGACCACCGGCTCCCCGAGCAGCTGGCCTCAAATCAATTCCAAAGAGAAGCAGAGAATTGAAGTTGATGGCTTTAACACTTGCCTGTCAGTCTGAAGAACACAGCTGATTATTCTTCAGTGAGTCATTGTTGGATAGTTCAACATGTTTTTTTTTTTGCTAAACACACTTCAGTACTGAAAGTTAGATGAAGAGATCAGGAGATGCTTAAGTTAACTTGGCGTAGAGGCTGGAAGCAGGAGGGGAGAAATATCTGTATATCTATAGGCTGTCACCCCAGACAGCAAAATGTCTGTTTCTCAGAAAGTTAGAGCGCTGATCTCAGTGAGACAGCTTCGACTGAACATGACTCAGAGCTCCCATGCTGTGTGTGTGCATGCACTGAATTTCTGCTGTTGTGTAAGAGCCAGCCTCGTGCACACCTATTGTCTGTGAATGAGGCGGCGAGGCTTCCCAGCTCTGCCTGCTTTCTCAGAGCTGACTTCAGAGAAAGCTGCCATGGCTGTTCTCACCAGCCTGCGCCGAATCCTCCCCGAGTCCTCCGACAGACACTCGGCGTCAGATGTTTTCATTCTCTGCCTTTCGTTATGTCGTCTCTCCCACCACCTCCTGCATCCACCCGCCTCCCCTTATCTTTCTGCCACCATTCCCCCAGTTGTCTCTATCCGGTCCTCACGTCTTCATCCGGTTCTGAGAGGCTCTTCCTCTCCCTGGCCCGGCGGTGAGCCCGTCATAATTGGATGCTGACAGTCAAGTGGTGCCACCGGATCGCCACAAGGAGTTCTGCTTGTTAGGAAATACAAGAGAGTACTTTGTTCAGACTTCACTTTTCAATCACATACGGAGCGATGCTTCTAAATTCATCCGATCCAATCAGCTGCGGCGTCACCAAGTTGCCTTCCAGTTTGAACACTTGGTCTGATTGTGAGCAGATCAATGCTGCACCCTGGATTTACATTAGCGCCGTTGGCAATGTCAGTCCACCACTTTGGTGCAGACTGAGGGAACTCAATAACTATTTGGATCGATTGCCATGAAACTCGACTCCATTTATATATTCTTGTTGCCCACGGGATGAATCCCGTATTGACTTTAGTGATCCCTTGACCTTTCCACCTCTGACAGGTCAAAGATTTTACTTCATTGGGAAACACATCTACTTCTGCTACTCTTAGCTCCGGCAGTAGTTCATTAACTTCCCCTCTCCATCTCTGAGTCCTTGAGTGAAAAGTCTCAGGAACTATTCTGACATTTTCTGGTCCTCCATCGCGAGGAGGCCATTTCTAATCAGACACTAGTGGACGGGGATCAAGGTGGTGGAAGGTGCTGCAGAGTTGACATGTTTTGGATATAAAGCTGAACGCAACAGTTTTAGAGACTTGATTTGGATTAATGTAAGTAAAGCTTTCAGACTAGAGAGATACTAGAAGCACTGCAAGAAAAAAGGAACCGACTCCTTTAAATCACGGATGTAGATTTACGGTTTCTTTATCTAAAAGACAAAAATCAGGCACCATGAGTAAACAACATAGATTGTTTTTTCAAAATAAAAGTCTTTTGTCTAACTCGTGCTTTCAACAGGACAGAGTTGGGAGAACAAATGCATGTGTTCTAAATATTAAGACAAATGAAACTTTGATCAGTCTCATCTGTGCTCTGAGTTTTAGCAGACGACTCTAAAATGCATTTACTGTCTATGAAAGACGGATGTAGCCACCATGACGTCATCCATCGGCGTGCAGACTAACGTTGTGACTTTGGAATTGGTCCATCACCGTCTTTGTTGTTCAAACTGTATGTGACAATAGATGGGTGGATCAGATTGAGGACATCTCACACGCCCATGCTGTAACACAAGGAAGTGATAAAACTTACACCCGGCGTTATTGTCTATTGTCTCTCTAAACGGAGCCATAATTCACAAATTTAACATCTTGTTGTATTGATGAAGACGTCAGCTAGTGTTTGGGACCATAAACTAGTTGGTAAATTCTTTGCTAAGGAAACAAATCAAGTGAGAGCTAGGACCATGTTCCTGTGTTCTTCTAGACATCCTGGTTTCTGTTTTTGCAACCAGATGAGTCGCCCCCTGCTGGCTGTTAGAAAGAATGCAGTAAACAATTAATAACACATCATTCCTGCATTGGCTTCAGTTATTTACACCCAGAAGCTCCATCCATCTTTTAAGTAGAGGCTATGCTAACATCACCACATTAGCATTAGCATACTGACGTAACCAGAGATGAGGGACTTTAGCGTCAGCACGTTGCAACGTAATCACGCAATTCAGGCAGGACTGGAAGGAAGTGATCACGGTTAGCCTGAATGCTAGTCTTGCAGACAAACCACACATACATTAAATACCCATTTAACATTTACATTTGCATGCTAAAAGAATCCAGATGTAAAGAAGCAGCGTTTATCTGCTTTTAAACGAGTCGAGTCTGTTGTGTTGCGTTAGTCTACATTTACCGGCCGTGTCGTGGTGTCTGTGTCGCCAGCAGTCCTTTGACACGTAACGCTGCAGAAAACCCTGATATCTGCAATTTGGAATAGCGATTTGGAAGCTGACGTGAATGCTTATTCCCACTCATAGGTTTCATAACGCTGAATTACATAACATGAATGTAGCATAAGTACAGTCCAACAGCACAGAGCGCCGCCGCTGCCTTCCTCTCCCATGCAGGTGATTATCGCGGAAGTGAAAGAGTGAATGAAAGCAAGAGGAGATTAGGCTTTAGATCCCACATCTCAAAGAAAAAAAGGAAAACACAACTAAGATGCAGGAAAAAAGCTACATATTAGTTTGGAAGGCTTTGCTGTGCGCCTTAGATCTCAGAACAAATAAGAATTAAGTGCTCGAGAGGCAGATTGAATGCATTTTCTTTTTAATCCATGCACGCAATGTGGCGTGCACAATGCCCCGTGCATGTCAGCCATATGCTGGAGTTGAGGTTTTCCACTTCGACAGCGTGGGCCGCAGCAGATATCTGAGCGAGGATTGTTTGTCTGGATCTGGAACCGAGCTGCTCTTGAATCCGAGCCGCTGACTGCTTCACCCTCGACTACAGCTGCAGAAGACAGACAGCTGTGTGCTGCAGCGCCGCTCTGGCCCGGGTTGAACTTCGTGGGGAAATCGTCTGCAGAAGCCACAGAGAGTCGCTGGACTGTTGGGGTTAGACTGAGGCAACGCAAGAGGCACCAGAGACACAGAGAAGAGATTTAACACCAGAAATATGAAGTTCTGATGCAGGCTAGATCAAGCCACAGTTCATAAATCCTGCTGTAAGACATAAATGACACTTAGAACAATGCTGGTCTGCATAACAGCGTTTGCATTAACCCTCTGATCCCCAAACAGTGGATGACTTTTCATAACATAAAACATAATTATAATGCAACCAATATAAAAAAAACAAAACAAAAATTGGATTTCTTGGACTTCCATCCATCCATCATCTCTACACCTTCATCCTCACCAGGGTCATGGGGGGCGGAGCCTATCCCAGCTGACTCAGGCTGAAGGCAGGTTCACCTGGACAGGTAACCAGTCTATCACAGGGCTACACTTAGAGACAGACAACCAAGCACACTCACATTCACACCTACGGACAATTTACAATCACCAATTAACCTCAGCATGTTTCTGGACTGTGGGAGGAAGCCGGAGAACCCGGAGAGAACCCACGCTGCACGGGGAGAACATGGAGACTCCACGCAGGAAGTGTTCTCACCAGGACGCCAACCGGCGACCTTCTAGCTGTGAGGCAACAATGCTAACCACTGATCCACCTGCAGCCCATTTCCTGGATTTCCTTTACAAAAATGTAAATCCAAGAGGCTTCATCAGGTCTGACTGACTAGTTGGGAGCTCCAGATACTTACATCCTTAAGGAGCCATGAACACCTGAGTTTCGGTTTCAGTTGGGGGTTTGTTGCTCCTCCCCCTGCCTTCGTCTTCAAGGAACTCAAGCAAGTCCAGCTGCTTCGATTAGGAGAACAACCGTGACCTGGATGACTGAGAATCTTCACAGACATCTGGACGTTGTTACTGAAACTGTGAAGCAAAGTAAAGGTGTTTTTTTTTTTGTAATTTTGGCAGCAAATTACATCTTTTAGATCGATATTGGTGCTGAAATGTGGAAAGATTCTTCCCCAGATTGCGTCACACAGCTCACATGGCTTGTGCGTGACCGTCCGTTAATGTGTCCTGGACCTGCGAAAACGCTGCTCATTCACACGTGAAGTCAGATGCTGCCCGGTCAGCAGAAACCGGAGCATGAACGGGGGCTTTGGGCTGCACCAGTGTTCTGTTTTTACCTCAACCGCTCGCAAATATGCATGGAAATGTAAAAAGTGCTGGAGCGGCCCTTTAAGGTCAGACGCACGCCTCGTCTCTCAGCAGGACCTCAGAGACGACGAATCACTTCTGCGGGAGAGAAAATTGGAATGTATGCGCTCGGAAAAGAGGTCAGAGCAAGAAGATGAAAAGCTCGATATATACGTAAAGACCCAAGAAGGACTTTCATCTTTACACGAATCCCAAACACAGATCAGTACCCGGATTCCTCGTTTTTTTTTTTTCTTTTTTTTTTAGGATGAAGTCAGACAACAGAACAGAGCCCAAGGCCTCTCTGAGAGACGGTGGAAATGGAAAACAGCATTTTCCTGACTATTTCTCTGCTCTGCTTTTCCTTCCACTCCAGTTCAGAGGTAAACAAGGTGCCAGTCACAGCGCTCCACCGGCTCCATCAGGTCTTTTTCTTTTTGCTGTGTGTCCCCAATGCTCAATTTGCAAGTGAGGCACAACCAACACCCCCCAAGGCACTTTGTACTATTCCAAGAACACTGGCGTTGCTGGCAGATTGCGGAGCATGTTTTGGGAACGCACTCCTCCCTTTCAGTCTGACACAAAATAAATACATGTGGTGTGTGAGTCAGGCTGGTCCTGGCTGCTGCTGCAGCTAATGTGATGATGTGGTGCCGTTGTCGGGGCCAGCAAATGAGCTGTGAATTAGCTAAGTGTGTTTTTCCAGCGAGGAGCAATGCAATCACGCGGTTGGCATCTTTCTGTCGTCCGTCGTGTCTGGTTCGGTCCGTTTACGTTCCGCTTTAACTGTCACTATTCACATGCGAGTTTCGTGCCAAGTGTTGAGCGCGTCTGAGGTGTAGCAGTTAAAAAAATAAAAAATAAATCTGGTGTTTTTGTTTCCCATCTCTTGGATTAAAGAAGGAGGCAGCAGCAGCAGGCTGTCGTCTCTCAGTATCTGCTCCATTGAGCTGATGGCCTGCTGGAAGAAGCAGCAGCAGATGGGAGCGGAGCAGGACGACAGCGCCACCTGCTGGATGGAAATCCTCCTAAAAATAAAATGAAGTTCAGAGGTCATTTCTCACCAACAAACATTAGACTGATGGTGTCACATCACCTTCATGTGTTCACAGACTGAAGCCGTGGTTTTCTTTCTTTTTCAGGTATTCCTGATTTTATTTATTTTAGAGGAAAAGGTCAAACTAATTTCTCTCATTTTAAAGTTTTCTTTTTATCCAGGAGCCGACACATCAGACTTTTTAGAGGTCTGAAAATGTAAACAAACCCGGTGTTTAACTTTACTGAAGACTTTTAGAGATCAGAAAAGATGAGATGGCTCAGTAGCTGATCTATTTAAAGGATTTTAAAGAGTCGACAATACCCAGTGCTTTACTGAAGATTTTAGAGGTCTTACGAGGTGAAAATACCCAGTATTCCACCGACTCGAAGGATTTCAGAGATCTGAAGGGGCCAAAATACCCAGTATTTAACTTTTTTGAGGGATTTGAGAGGTGAAAATACCCAGTATGCTACTAATTTGAAGAATACTAGAGATGTAAGAGGTGAAAATACCCAGTATTTGACTCGTTTGAAGGATTTTTAAATGTCTAAGGAGGTGAACATACCCAGTATTTTACTCATTTGAAATTTTAAGTGGTCTTAGGAGGTGAAAATATACAGTATTTCACTTGCAACCAGCACCTTTCACAAAGTTTTTTAAATCAGAAGGGATGAAAATACCCAGTATGCTACTAATTTGAAGAATACTAGAGATGTAAGAGGTTAAAATACCAAGTACTTTACTCATTTTAAATGCGTAGTGGTCTTAGTAGGTGAAAATATGCAGTATTTCACCGACTTGAAGGATTTCAGAGATGTGAAGAGATGAAAATACACAGTATTTAACTTTTAAAGAGATTTTAGAGGTGTGAAGAGGTGAAAATACCCAGTATTTGACTTGTTTGCAGGATTTTTAAATGTCTAAGGAGGTGAACATACCCAGTATTTTACTCGTTAAATTTTAAGTGGTCTTAGGAGGTGAAAATATGCAGTATTTCACTTGCAACCAGCACCTTTCAGTTTTTCAGTTTTAATCTGAAGGGATGCTACTCAAATGAAGTCCAGTATTCAACTTGTACCACTACATACATTTATATAAATCAGCACTAAATTGTATTTCAAACACACGACAGGTAAGAAAGAAGTCTGACAGTGACGTATACTTGCACTCCTTCCATTTTATTGACATTGTTTTACAAAAACAGGTATGAGAGAATGCATAGAGCGAGCCGAGTCGGCTCATCAACGAGAACATGGAAAAACACAAAGGGTGTCGGGAAAAGGCAACGATCTGTCTAAAAAGATTTTCTTCTTTTAAAAAAAAAAAACAACACTGTTTGCAGGTATTCATACTCCGACGGGGTCTCGCGCACAAGACACGACAGAAGGACGTACAAGTCTCATTTATGCAAGCGCACACACACGACACACTCGCACACACACACACACACACACACACACACAAACACACACACTCACTGGCACACGATGCAAACGTGTGGGTGCAACAGAAGAACGACGGGATGCAGGAGGGAACGCATCAACAGCTGAAACCCATAGACGTGGAGAGATGCATAGAGATGTACAGGTACGTTTTCCTCCCTCCGTGTGATTGGCTGCCACCTCCACACTCGGGCGGTACCGAGGTGGTACCGAGGTGGTACCGAGGTGGCAGCAGAAATCGGACTGATTCAAGACAAATGAAACTGAAACACTCAGACGCCACTAAAGGTAAAGAGAGAAGATTTGTTTATCCTTTTTTTTATTTGAGTGAAATGACCCTTTAAGCCAGCGCCGTGATACACAACCGTCCAATCAGGGGTTCTCCGTGGACTCACTCCATCAACGGCGTGCGTTGGCGGCGCTGTGAGCGAGCATCACGACGTCTCTAATGCCGCGAGACTAACCGAATGCATCCTGGATGTGTGCTGAATGTGCGTTCACACCGAGAACCGCATCAATAAGTTTAGTCGAGAGAAGCGTCTGAGCCACGCGCTGAAGCTGGTTTCTGTCATTCAGAGCACAACGGCGCCCACAAAGGCAGCACGTTACGCCACAAATGACCCGCCGCATTCAGCACGTGCTCAGCAGTTAGGTGTTTGGATAAGTTAGAATACAGCGGAGGACAAGAGCCCAAGATGAGACTGTGTGTTAGCATCGTGGGCTAAAGCCTGTTAAAGTCTGTGATGGAGATGCACACATTGTGAGCAGGCGAGGTCCACGTGTGACAACAGGAGCTACGTCAGGATAAATAAGGTCACAGCGAAACACCGTTTTTGTCGTTTGTACTGTTTGAAACATGACCTAAAATGCTAAAAGAGCAAAGCACCGTTCCATCCACATGCATAAAACACTGACCGGGAAGTTAAAAACAAACAAACTTTCAACTGGTTGAAATGCAGCGATTGTGTTTTCTGTCACAACAACAACTCAACAAGGGGAAGGAATCAAGAATTTGCTTTTCTTTTTTTTTTTTTTTCCTTTTCTGACTGGTCTGCATTTAATTACTGTGCGTTCATGACGAGCGTGCCCGCGGCCACTTCCTCCACACGCTGGCTAAACTGTACAACGAGTCCTCCAGTGTAAACTCAAGAGGATTGTCCTCGCTCGCAAAACAAGCCGGGAGTCTCCAACCGAGGAAATAGAATAAGAAATGAGATGAGCAGTGTAGAGAAAGAAAAGTGCGATAAGAACAACGCCGTTTACTTCTGACAGCTAACCGGGAAATCCTCTCACTGGATGTTAGCGTGTTGTCAAAACGGGGCTGACAAATGCAATCATGTTACGTTGGTATTTCATTTATATATATATATATAAATCTATTTATATATTTATCAATGTCACTATTTGTTAAAACATGTTAATTATATTTATTTGTACTTCACAGCCTGGGTAAGTGTCGTCTTCCTTCAGTAAGCTCGTGTATTTACATTCCAGTAGTTAGAATGGTTCTGGTTCAGTTTGGTGACTTCCTACCTTCCGTCCAACCGCAGTGACGACACACACGGTCAACACGGACACGTCCGAGTTCAGAGGCGGGTGTCATGACCTCGCTGGCAACAAGCACTCATGTAGGTATTTAGTGTAAAGGGCTGTAGATGAGGACATCACAGCCAGAGTTAGGGATGGTGTCCATGATCCTGATATGTAAAACGCTCACTAAGGGCGACCGGACCAGTGTACGACTTCCCACTTCTACTCTTGGTTGTGACGGGTCAGCCAGAGCTCCTCCTACAGCTCCTGTGCATCTCAAGTCTACTTTGCATTTTCACGCAAGGCACGTCTACCGTTCGCCTCCCTCCCCGCTCTGCTTATTCCACCTCAACAAGCCTCCAGCACTGATTCCTCCTTGTTCTCGCTGACTTTAGAACCTTTGTCATATACTGAGATGATGCGTGGCAGCTGGCGTCTTTATATTCTGGGCCTCTCGCGGTACTCTGAGGGATGCAGGGAACACTGCGTGTTTTAAAAACTGATCATCAGTATTAGAACAAAGCCTACTGCTGAAGAGGGTCCTATATCCACTAGGCATTAAGGAGTGGGATCGCTGCACTTCTCTTCGTTATTAGTAATGTTAGAGGCAGAATATAGTCTAAGTCAGGTTCTTTCTTCAGCGCTCTGAATCTGAGTTTGCACAAGCAACGTATATATCCGAAGGGAACAGGGGATGGAATAAAAATGAAAATAGGGCAACCGTTTCTTTGCCACTGCTAAACCGAGATCCCCACATCAATGCGAGGATCTCTGTGACCCTCCGCCTTGTGCCATACCCTTTGGTTATAAAACAAAACTCCCAACTTTTTTTCCTAACAACCGCTTGTGTCAGTGAGACAAAGGTCGAGGTGCCGTCTCCGTCCAAGCAGGTTGTTAGCTGTGCTAGCTGGTGTGCAGGTGCTCGCTTCTCTTCATCTCCAAACAGGGGCAGGGTTACATAGACTGTCTAAGAGGGGGAAGACTTTAACCATTCAGGAGGTAGACCACCAACTCGTAGGTGCACATCATGATGGCGGTGTTGGGGATCTGGCGTACCAGGTGGGTGGTGAGGCCGCGGTACAGGGCGCGGTAGCCCTCCTCTTTGGGCACTGTTGTTAGAGTCTGGAAAAAGGAGCGGTACTTGGTGCCCTCTTCACGTAGCCTGGTACGAATCACTTCTGCAAAGTCAAGAGGACGAGCGGGGTTAAAGAAAAGTAACCAAACGCATCTCACAAGACGAGCTAGCTGCTGATAAAAGCTCTTACCATGAGGATAAGCAATAGTTGTGGCACAAGTCTTGGAGGTGGCAGCAGCAAGCATCATCCCCACAAAGTCTGAAGCATCTTTCGATGTCTCCTCTTCCTCGTCCATGTTCTGTGTTGCCTTGGCCTCCAAGAGGCGCCGTTTAATGTTCTCATAGATCACAAAGTGGATCACAGTCTCTGAGATACCGGCGTAAGACGCTGACATTCCCCTGTAGAAGCCTCGCAAGCCGTCTGCCTGATACACCCGCCGCACACACTCAAACGCACTCATCCGTCGCTCACCTCGATTCCTGAGAAGAGACGAAATAAACACATTACAACCTGCATACATGCATACAAAGCGTGATCAGCTTCATTTGGTCTACTCTGATTTTAGGTTTCTTCTTTTATCAGACTGAGTATGTTTTAGATAGGAGCTGAAAGAAACAACCACATCATGGACTGAGACAAGGCAAAGATCATCGGATCAGAGAAGAACAAATTTTAGCGTTGGATCAAGGAGGCCATAGAAATCTGGAGGCGAGCCAAAGACACCATGAGCCGTGATGAGGGGGCATTTATGCTGCCCCACACATGGGACGCTCTCCTGCAGAGACCACCAGGCGGCAGGAGGCGTGGCCCGGCGGGCAAATCTGACAGATCGCCAGACGGGTCACACCTCCTCCAGAAACCAGCAGCTGATGAAGACACGTCACTCAGACGTCAGTGACGTTTCTGAGGAAGACTGAAGTGACAGTCGAAACGTCAAGGTAAGAACAGCTCCTATCTAAAAAATACTCATCGTCTGATAAAAAAAGAAACCTGATGTACAGCATGCAGCATTCTCCAACAGTTCAGATAAGAAATCCCCCAAAAACCATGTAAGGTGGAAAGAAATTGAAGAAATTTCACGGAGAGCAACTGAGGAGGCATCGTGTCTCTGGGATGTAACAGAAGTTGTTCAGTTCACAGCGTGGACACAGATTACATCCATAAACAAAATACAAGTACGATCCAGTGGAGTCATAGATCTGACCTATAAGAACTCCTTACAAGTAAAACTTTAACTTTTATCCAACGAACATTAAATGATCACAACAAAGATATTTCTTTACAGAATAAAAACTTAACGTCACGCACGCTCATGCACAGACAAACTCCTCGACAACTAATGGACTGATTGATAAAAAGGCGTTAGCCTGAGTTAATAACGTAACTAACAAACATCAGTCAGTGCTTCCTGTTTGTGTTTGGTGCTGTTGTCGTTGTGGACGTGTAGAGGACAGCGAGCCCCGAAGGACAAAACCACCAAACAGGAAAAGCAAGAAGCTTGTGTAGAGCCAAAAAATCTGACGTTTATTTCCGACATCTGACATGATTTAGTGATTAGAAATAACTGAACAATCTCAGCAAAAATGACTTCAGTTAATGTTTGTCTTAAGCTTTTTATTGTCAGATCTGTGGGTGGACCGTAGCTGTAGCGGCGTGGCTGTCTGCCGCTAGGAGCCATAAAACTTCAAATCATGTAAACAGAAAAAAAGGCCAAGCGTTAGTCATGGACGTTCTAGTCGGACCGCACCCTGGCAGCAGAGAGGTCCAACACACAGGTGTGAAAGCGTCTCTCACAGCTTCAGACAATAGCAGCAATGTTTCTGGTGTGACGTTCTCCTGTGTGGCGGCAGCATCCACGTTAAAGCTAAACGAACATATCAAACGTTAGCTGAGGTTTAAGCAGCTCATAGCGCAGTGTCATGTTTACCTCGCGTCCAGCTGCAGGCGAGTCTTTATGAGCCATATCGGATTGGTTGCTGTGATGGCTGTAAAACCTGAGGAGGGGAAGAAAAAAAGAAACGACGGATTACACATCCAGCGTGTAAACGTCACGCCAACATCCAGGTAATGTGTAAATGATCTGTGAGCTGCACTCATGTTGGTAATGGAACAAACAAAGTGAACATGTTGAAATAAAAGCAGCTTAGAGACGGAGGACGAGCCCCTTCACAGACTATCGTGTGTCATGAAAACTGTATGTTGTGATAACAGCTGGAATAAAACAAAAAAATAAATAAAAAAAGAAAGGCTCTATTTTACCCAAACACTTATGTGAGAAGGGAGTAGAGGATGGGAGAGAGAAAGAACCAGATAAGATAAGAAGAAGCACAGATCTGTGGTGAGTACTCACGCAGACCCAAGTAACTCCTCACAGATGCAGCTAGAGACCCCTGGTGGTGCGGGGGTCTCATGCCCTTGCGAGAGGAGAGCTACGGTAGAGTAAAAGCCTAAAACAGACACAGGCTCGTGTGTAGCAAAATGACCGGCATGCAACCATTTCACTTCCCATTCCCAGCATTATCCCACAGGAGTTAAGCCCAGCATCATCCACAACCTCACACACACACACACACACACACACACACCCACACAGCAGATGAGCACTTGTTGAATTAAAATAAACCCTTAAGACTTAAGAAAATAACCATAAACTGCCGTGTAGTCAGGTAAAGGTGACGACTGATGAGCTTCAAATCCTGGTTTGAACACCTTGCAAATTACAGCCTGACCAATAACAGTAATCCTGGGTGGAAAAGTGGAAGTAATTGAGTATTTTAGTAACTAAGTACAGAACAATTCTGAGACACTTCCACTTCATGCTACTACATCCTTTTGCTTTTCTATATTGCACTTTGTTTAACCTTTTAATTTAATGGCTATAGTTGTGTTGTTGGACTTCAGGTTGTCGACTCGTCCACTATGTTGGGTTCTACTATATAAAAGTCTGCTACGTTTCTGCTGAATAAAAAAAACGTCTGCGCCACATTTGAGGCCATGGACTCCACAGCGCTGCTATTTTTAGATAAGTACACTTTGTAATTGGCGTATCTCTGCACAATGCTGAAATGAAACTTTATGAATCGGTCCACGTGTACGGCCGGGCTCACGCTACAGGAGTGTAGGGAAAACTTCACGGATTTTCCACTTTTTCTAATCTCACGCACACCTCATCACTACAAGACTGGAAAATAATGTTGCGCAACGGGCGTAACTTTAGGGTTATTGTGCCGGAGGGAGCAGCGCAGCACCTCAAGTGATCTGTGAAAGGGAAGCAGATGGAAACAAAACGGAGACGATGGAGCAACCGTCTATCTATGGCGGGATCCGAAGACGGGCTCTGTTTGGTATAACTTTGTCCTTGTGATCACTTGAGGTCCACACTGATATCTAGTAAAATAATCTACCACCAATAATGCTTTTTGCACCACTTTTTTAACTATAACAACATTTGGGATGACAAAAAAATGGTAATTTGTGGCACAGATCAAGCAAAATTTGTCACACAGAAGCCATGTGAGTAAAACTAGGCCTAAACTATATTGGCTCTAAAATTAACCTCCACTCTCGCTAATGTTAGCTAGCCATTAGCCGTGACAGACGACAGCCCTAAACACGGCGTCTCGTCACCTGTCACTTCAGCTCTAGCGTGGCTTGCCACTGGAGGGGAGATGTGCTGACAAACGCTGACCTTCACCGGCTTGTTGAAAGGTCTAAGTCACGGTGTGCTAGACGTGGCGCTGCTGTGGATCCGCCACACTCACCCATTTACACGCCGATGACGCTCGCGGTAGCTCTCTGACTGACTGACTGACCTACATTGTGCTGGTTTCTAACAGAGACACAGAAGATCAGATAACCTACCCCTGACATACGAAGCATCAGAGAATAACAGAACGGTATTTAAATCTGACCTCAACACATTGTTTTTTTTAATTAAGCTGCTCTGAGACAGCAAATCTGGGGAAAAGGTTAAAAAAACAAACAGGATAAGCTTGTTTTTGAATAAACAGGGTCCTGGGGAGTGTGCAGATCGTCATCAAACTCTGCTGCACTTAAATCCTACGAGTCTAACACAACACAAACTAGTTCTGCCACCCCGTGTTCTCGGGCTGACAGCGGCGACACAACACCCACTTTACTGAAGCCTGCTGCTAAATGTAGCGCCACCATTTGTCAAAGCTTACCAGCACTGAACCAGACAAGGTCCATTTGCTCAGAACTCCTGACAAGAAAGCTGGAAACATTCACCAGGTTATTTGGAATTAAAAAAGAAAAAAAAGAAGCAGTGCATGGTGGTGCATGGCGCTCTGCTACCTCAGATATATCATTACCTGCCGTTCCGGCCGACACCATGTGCACCTGCGTGGAGTCGGGTTCCATCACGCTGTTCAGTTTCTCTTTGGCAGTGGAGTAAGCAGCAAAGTAGATCGCTCTGCGGGAAACAAAGGACAAGAAGGGTCAGTGTTTGGGACGGCGGGATGAGGCCGAACAAGTAACACACACCATGTTTTCTTTTTGTGTTTCAGTGTGCACCTAATTAGTCTCTGCCACTGCCTCCAGTAGCAATGCAGCTTATCAATTAGACTGCATTAGCGAGTGGAGCTGCCCCCATGTCAGGCTCAGTTTAATGAGCTTTAAAGATTCATGAGGTGCAAAGCCAAGAGCAGAACGAATATTCTCTGCAAATGAGCTTTTCAGCGGGAAACGTGCGTGCTTTGGTTTATTTTTTGAAATAATCTTTACTTGTTTTGACAAATTAAAACGCTCGTAATCATTAGGTTCACACTAACGTCTAAATACAAGTCCTGCTTTCCCTTTTTTTGCCCCCTTAGCACTGTGTGGTGTGCAGTCTGGCTCATTCGTTAAACTGTTTGTCAAATTTGCTTAGTCAGACTGCTAATGATGCTTGAAACTCATCACTCGTCACCAAGACAGTGTTTGTGCACTCGTTTTGAAACCAGCTCGGGAGGCCTTTTGCTCTCCTCCGCTGCTGCTGCATCAGCATTCATTCACGTAAGATGCTAACAAAACACTCCACGTGTGCTTAGCGCCGGCACCTGTTTCCTGCAGGTTGAAGCGTTTCCCGCTGCCATTAGCCGCCACTTTGCTCCTCTCATTATCACCGAGAGCTGGTAATCACAGTGACACTAGAATATTTCCTAGACACAGACCCAATGTGGTTTTCAAAACGCTGCTGCTGCTGTTTTTTGCCAGGTTTCCAAAGACAACCGTCACCACGCAGCGAGCGGTGCTGCCGAGAAAGCCACGAGGATGAATGGCACCTTAACGACCACGAACCCCGAGTGTTTCGTCGTCACCAAGTAACCTCAAGGAATCCTGTCGCGGTTGCGTAACACCGCTGTCGGTCACAGCCACACATACAGGACAGAAACTCCACATAGAAACTGTTGACTTGTTCAAACTGTGCCTTTAAATGACGCATGAAGCTGACATTTTGTAGACACGCATTTATCACACCTTCAAATCCGTCCATTAGATTGAGGAGCTCCAGATTAAGAGCCAATGATCAGAGCCTCGATTAGGGAGTAAAAGGTGGAACCAGACTTTTTAAAATCTGTCTTCTGTCATGAATGTGTCCAGGACTGCCTGCCCCAGAAAAATCTGTCCAAGGGTGGAGTGTTTCACGCAACAAGAAAGGAAGCTCAG